CTAGGCATTTGTAAGTGAAATTTATTAAACCCTGACCAATTTGTTTTCAACAAATCGAAAATATAATGCGTCGTGCATTACGATGCCGTTATTTTCGCCCATATTTCATGTCATTTTCTGGATTATGTGTTGTGGTTGGAAATCGTAATGCAAGTACCACGATACTCGTAATTTTGACCAATACATGTTGACGGTGTTTTTGATTGGACATAAAATTACTTTGTGAGCTCACCTTCTCCACACCCAACACACATCGTCTACACCTGCCTTGACCACAACAGCTTCGATAAAGACGAGAGAAAACGCATCACGCAGTCTCGACGCCACGCAGTGAGTATCAATGTCACATTCATTTACATGTACTTATGTAGTAGGGACAAGACTCAACGCCACAAGGACCACTCCGGCGCCGCCGACTCCATACGACTCAAAGTAGCAACGACCGCCCCAGTGCTGGTGGTTCCTTAGGTGAGGTAAGCTTTCGTTTCTTAAATGGACGACTGTACTTCGTCGCATCCTGCTGACGCACGAGACGCACCATTGTAGTAACCTTGAGCTGGCAGTCCCGACGAAGACGTTTCGACGTTGTTTCACCGCTGATGACGTTGAACAAGCCGGATGTAGCAGCAAAAGCATCGATGGCGTCGATTTCGGTGGGATGCGGTGGAAGGGCAAGCCCTGTAGCCAATGTATAGAATTCGGATAGTTTTTCCATGATAAATTTCCACTCATAAAACGTGTTCTTGTGTGCTCGAGTTGTCAAATCTTGAGTATCGATTCGGCGGTACGGGATAATGTTCTGACTGCTGTAGCCACACCACCACAAGTTCCAGGCCGTTGCGGTATCCACGCTCGGAAAAGTGAAATCATCCGGTAGTTTGTGAAACTTACCACCCCAATGAAACACCTTGTATTCACTGACAGTGGGAGGGACATTGTGTGTGGTAGTGGGGACAATGAACTGTCCAAACGATTGACTGACCAGTGACAGGGCGTTAGTAATGGACGATTCCAGTACGGTGCGAGTGATGTTACCAGCGCATACGCCGTTCTCGTTCACGATTTCACGCACACCTTTCAAAATCGTTTCCAGGATTAGGGCCAAGGTCTGATCGTTCCGTTGCAATTGTTTGTACATTTCGACAAAAGGGGGTATGCCACTCGGACGTAAGCAAGGCGACCCATCGCCAGACTGCACACACCCGAGTAGTTCACCCTGCATCGTGCCGTTGGTAAATAGAGTAGTCGAGCGCATGGCATGGCGTGGAGGCAATACACTCTCCAAATACCCATGATGATACACCAAGCTGGCCAATACCAACTGCAGCACTGGGCGAAGGTCGGTGTTGGGGCTTGAGCAGGGGGAACACGACTTGGAGGGCTGAAAGCACCACCGTGGCACTGGGGTCTCGAAAATGAGGGGGCAGGACCGCAAAATCAGAGCTTTTGATCGGCAACCCAGCAACAACGCGACCAGTGAACTGATCCCCCGCGGCTTCGTACCGAAAGTAACGTTCCATGACATTTCCAAGGGACCACCCACAACGCAGACATACGCTGACAATAGATGGACCACCAGTGCTGCCAGAGGAGACAAACGTAGCAGCTCCTTTTCGAATCGAGTGGGTCCTGATGTCTTTCTTCGCTCCAGTTTTTGGCGCTTCAATTAACGCAGCGAGTGATTTGCCGAAACGATCCTATATTAATTGTTAAATAGGGAATTAAATATGATAAACACCTTTTGATTTGCACCAGGAAATAACTCTGTCGGTGTAATGCGACTATTACATGACAGATACACACCAAGGGCGACATACAGGCATATCGATGGTTTGAACGGGTTTGCATAGCAGTGCTTAGGGTCCTTGTTTTTGGTGCCTAATATGAACACTTAATTAACACTAGTAACCATTACTATATAGTACATGACACTGATCGAACCTTCTTGATTTGTCTTTGTCTTAAAAAAGGTGAATCCAATGCTGTCGTCCTCGCATGACATGTGATCGAACCTGCAATACTTTGTGATAGAATTTAAGTGTCACTTCGAGTAACTACCGAACTGTTTCAGTCGATTTCGATCTACACATGAGATTCCAAGATAGGATTAGGAAAAGGTGTGCAAATCCCCCGTCGAACAGTTCGACGCTCTTTTCACACAACGTCTCGAACACAGCAAACGACATTGGTCGTTTGCCTCGGTATAGCTTGGCACCAGCCTGAAGGTCCTGGGCTACAGTCTTGCGTAGTCCTAAATAATGCTGTTATTGTATACTATGATGACATGTGTACCTGAAAACACTTCCTTGATGTCTTCTCCGTATTCAAGTGGCACTGGAAGACCCTGGTCTTTGTAGAGGCTCTGGATCGCACTGCGATACCCGCTCAGTGTCCCCACCTCAACGTCTTTGTTTTGAACAGTCCACTCGATAAAATCGAGGAAGTGCTCGTAGTGGAACGCATGGAGGTCAAGAGTGGTTCCGTCGCTGCTCTCCGCGCACGGTGCGAGAAGGTCATGTAACCCCGCAAGTACCACCCATTTCTTGACTTGGTTGATACCCGACGAGTAACCACTTCGTGTCTGTGCAGAAATGCGATTGCGCCGAGCGCTGGCGATGGTGAAATCTTGCTGGCGAGCCATGAAAGAACTTGCAATGATATCGATTTCATTGGTCTGATTAATCATAATTTCGACGCTTTTGATTCGCCAGGAACTATGTAATACACCATGTATTACGTTTTCTTCATTCGCTTGAACAAATAGTTTCTCAAATTTAATCACTAGGCATTTGTAAGTGAAATTTATTAAATCCTGGCCAATTTGTTTTCAACAAATCGAAAATATAATGCGTCGTGCATTACGATGCCGTTATTTTCGCCCATATTTCATGTCATTTTCTGGATTATGTGTTGTGGTTGGAAATCGTAATGCAAGTACCACGATACTCGTAATTTTGACCAATACATGTTGACGGTGTTTTTGATTGGACATAAAATTACTTTGTGAGCTCACCTTCTCCACACCCAACACACATCGTCTACACCTGCCTTGACCACAACAGCTTCGATAAAGACGAGAGAAAACGCATCACGCAGTCTCGACGCCACGCAGTGAGTATCAATGTCACATTCATTTACATGTACTTATGTAGTAGGGACAAGACTCAACGCCACAAGGACCACTCCGGCGCCGCCGACTCCATACGACTCAAAGTAGCAACGACCGCCCCAGTGCTGGTGGTTCCTTAGGTGAGGTAAGCTTTCGTTTCTTAAATGGGCGACTGTACTTCGTCGCATCCTGCTGACGCACGAGACGCACCATTGTAGTAACCTTGAGCTGGCAGTCCCGACGAAGACGTTTCGACGTTGTTTCACCGCTGATGACGTTGAACAAGCCGGATGTAGCAGCAAAAGCATCGATGGCGTCGATTTCGGTGGGATGCGGTGGAAGGGCAAGCCCTGTAGCCAATGTATAGAATTCGGATAGTTTTTCCATGATAAATTTCCACTCATAAAACGTGTTCTTGTGTGCTCGAGTTGTCAAATCTTGAGTATCGATTCGGCGGTACGGGATAATGTTCTGACTGCTGTAGCCACACCACCACAAGTTCCAGGCCGTTGCGGTATCCACGCTCGGAAAAGTGAAATCATCCGGTAGTTTGTGAAACTTACCACCCCAATGAAACACCTTGTATTCACTGACAGTGGGAGGGACATTGTGTGTGGTAGTGGGGACAATGAACTGTCCAAACGATTGACTGACCAGTGACAGGGCGTTAGTAATGGACGATTCCAGTACGGTGCGAGTGATGTTACCAGCGCATACGCCGTTCTCGTTCACGATTTCACGCACACCTTTCAAAATCGTTTCCAGGATTAGGGCCAAGGTCTGATCGTTCCGTTGCAATTGTTTGTACATTTCGACAAAAGGGGGTATGCCACTCGGACGTAAGCAAGGCGACCCATCGCCAGACTGCACACACCCGAGTAGTTCACCCTGCATCGTGCCGTTGGTAAATAGAGTAGTCGAGCGCATGGCATGGCGTGGAGGCAATACACTCTCCAAATACCCATGATGATACACCAAGCTGGCCAATACCAACTGCAGCACTGGGCGAAGGTCGGTGTTGGGGGCGAGCAGGGGGAACACGACTTGGAGGGCGGAAAGCACCACCGTGGCACTGGGGTCTCGAAAATGAGGGGGCAGGACCGCAAAATCAGAGCTTTTGATCGGCAACCCAGCAACAACGCGACCAGTGAACTGATCCCCCG